TGAATAATTAACATTTAAAATAAATATTAAATAAACGTCTAAACAAAGAAACACCTAGCCAATTTAGCATAACTCTCCTCGGTCAAACCTATCAAGTCCTCCAACGCGCATTCTTTGGCCTTCCAAACCCTCTGATAGCTCATGACACCCCGTATTCTCGACAAACGTCATTAATGATGTCCAAAAGTTTGTAGATCGTTCGTGGATCCTGAAACTTGTGCATTACTTCTTGACCAATGAACCATGATAAGGCTTGCCTGTGATCATTTCGACAAATACCCACTTCGTAAATATGTTCCGTGCATACTTACGAACTACAAAAACTCATTCGTGTCCACTTTCGTTGCTTGCAAATGCCAAAGGCAACTATCATCAACGCAAACAATTGTGTAAGTCGAATTGTTTGATTTCTTCACTTTAATCTCAAAATTGTGTTTCAAAGCAATCCGGTGAACAGCTTCTTGCAAATCTTTCTTCATGTCAAACAATTACTCGACATACAAATCTTTATCATCGGAGACTACACGTGAACAATTAGAACGGTGCACTCGGTCCAGCCTGGGAGCTACCACTCGATTCATGTCTCAGATAAGATAAAGCAATCAAATTCTTATTTGTAAAGTCATTATCTCTTTCGTTGTCTTGAACTACCGAGCAAATTCTGTGTATAACAGTGAGATCATGGTGAGGAGCAACTATCTTTGGAATAGCCCAAACATCATCAAGAACTGTCTCCACTGTGTCCCAAAACTCATTCACACTAGGATCCCCTCCATCGAAATCTTCATGTTCACTCTCGAGGACATTCTTCTTCATCAAAATTACTCAAATAGGAATTACACATTTCTGGTTCATTTCAATTAAAACCTTCATTTCAGTTTCAAAAGTAATCATTATAGGTGGAATTGAAATGGGTGTATGCTCGCCATTAGAAATCCCAATTCCATGGGTGTATATTTCATTGTACATTTCTGCATATGATGTAATTGATGTTATCACAATTGCAATACAACCATGTCTTTCATTCCTCCATTTTCACACCCATTGATCATTTTCATTCTTTTCAAATTCACCAAAGTAACAAATTGGGACAGCAACTGATCATATATCTGCATTAAGAAACATCATTTATTAAAAAAAAAAATGTAATTACAAGAATAAAAAGACGAAAAAATATGCTAGGCAAGACACAAAAAAGGCCCAGACGTACCGGGCCGGTTGTTAACTGTTTGGCCGGCTATCTGTCCGACATTTCCATTTTGCTTATTTTTTACTGAATAGCTAATTTTTTCCTCATTTTTGCTAAAAAAAATTATAAATTCGTTTAAGACTGTAATGATTTATTTTTCTAAAATTATACACTGAAATAAGATTTAAAGATTCAAATAATGTACTAATTTAACTAAAATGAAATTAAAAATACGTATTTATATTCACCAATTTTGAGCGCGGCTGTGAGTAATATTTTTTTGTTGAGCCTTTGACAATTTTGTGAGATTTCAATGTTCAAGTAGAAGGAAGAGGAAATTTCTTTTTAACTGTGTTGGAGAATCTAATAAGGAAGGTGATTTCATTTTAAAATTTTAGTGAGAGTGTTTGGATTTATTAATTTTTTGAAAGAAGGTATTATTGTCTTTTGAACAAATGATATGTTTTTGTAATTAGAAAATATAATAAGGGCAAAAATGACATTTACTCTTCAAAATGCCTTTTTGATGAATAGCAAAAAAAATTTAGTCAATGTGATAAAGTGGTTGTCTGACTTGGTGCTTTTGAAAAGTACCCCCACTCGAAGCAGGGGCGGACCCAAGGACCTCCAGTTTTTCCAAAAAAAAAAAAAAAAATTGTTTTTTTCCCTTTAATGGTCGGGCCCACTATGGAATATCAAATGAAATTGAAATATTACATTCTTAATATTATTTTGAAGTACTCACGGTCTAGTATTTCACGTTGATAATGGTGTGCAAAATGACCAATCATAGCAAATGTCACGATACGTCAAAGTAGGTCATTCTAAACTAATATTTCGAGAATTTCGATAACAAGCTAATTTTAAAAGAATTTCGACAATTATACGCTAGTCGTATTCATAAATATTCTATATTCTCTCGAAACTCATTTCGAGAACTAATATCATTAACATATCGAATGATCTAAATGAATATCGAAAATAGTTAAACATACGTCCAATGTGTATGCTAAAAAGAGACGTATAACTCGTCTTTTTAAAAAAAAATCAATTATTTTATTAATGTGCATTATTTTTGCATGACAAATTTCTTAATATAATTTATATCATTTTATTAAGAAGTTTTATATATGGTATAATGCCAAATTTTATTTTATTTTATTTTTTTGGACATAAAAATTCTTAATAAAATTTTTATTACTTTATATAGGTTATAAATTGTTATATTACTTTTTCATCTTGATTATTTTTATATCTAAAACAAATTTATATATAAAAAAAATTCAATCATTTTTAGGATTTTTTTTAATTATTGCTACCTTTTCTTCCCGACAAATTAATTTTTTTCAAATGACGTCAAAAATTTTATTAGGAAATTTATTAGATTATTTCCCTAATGTAAAATATCTGCGTCCGCTCCTTACTAGAAGCACAATGAGGTGAAGGTCAAGAATGAAAAGACACTTCTTTTTGGTGATAATCCAGTTAAAGTTTTTGGGTTTAGGTTGGATTTTATTTTTTTTGTAAATTCTTGAAAACAATGCACGATCAATAATAAGTATTTTGGACTCATTTGCATTTTTAAAAAACTTTGGGGATATGATTGTAATTTGTGCTTTATTTTTCTTTCCTTTTTCTTTTATTTTATTTAAATAGGAGGGTATATTGATCATTTTATATTAAAATTTGATGAAAATGATGTTTTCCACAGAGAAAAAGGGAAGATAGGGACGAAAATGCCAAAAAATCAAAGTTAGTGATGTTATCTACAATAAATTCAAAAGGTAGGGACATTTTGTGCCAATATACCCCAGGCTTGGATATTGAACAGTTTTCGATTCCTCTATCCTCTCCTATAATTTGCCGAAAGTTGCCTCTTATCTGGAGATTGATTGGCATACATTTTCTCAAGTAAAATTATTTTTGATGAACGTGTAATTAAAAACTAGAAAACAATTTTAAATTTCATAAATGAAAATATTTTTGAAAAAATAATAATAATTTTAAAAAATTCATATCAAACAAGCTCTTATAAACCTTCACTCTCTTTGTAGACCACCTTAGTTTATATTTTTCTTTTCTATTTGGTATTTGTACGGGGTATCTCTTTTAGTATTATGGATTAATCCAATACTCCTTTTACCAAAAGATAGAGGCCATTCCGACACAGTCGAGAAAAATGACAAAAAAGGGGGGGGGGGGGGGGGGGTGTGGGGGGGGGGGGGGGGGGGGGGGGGGGGGGGGGGGGGGAATGTAAGAAAATATACAATTTAAGAATCTTCACTCTCAATACTATGTCCGCCAGAGCCGTTAAAGAATTGACTATATGGAAGAAGATAATTACAATCTATTTTAAACTGGACTTTCTTTCTGTTTTCTCTCTACTGTGAAATACACAAAATATAAGCTCATCCTAATATCCTTATATACGACAAAAATATTAGAGCAAGATATTAAATATGCAAAATTTTCAAAGTACCCATATAATACTTCAAAAGTGAATCATTCAAAACAACCAACCTTTAGAACTTGTGGTTGGTTACATAATTACTAAAAGGTTTCTACTTTTCATCATTTGATGTAGTAAATAGAATCCGGTGCCACAGAATACTGTATAAGTAACAATAGCAAAAATCTAAGGGGCTGTTCTCTTCGTGTTCGAGTTTTTAGTTTTGAGTTTTGAATTTTGTTTTAGGTTTTGTGTTTTGAGAGTTTGTTTTGAAATTGTTGAAAACACGTTCTTTTTGCCATTTTAAAAAAAATGTTTCTTAAAGCATGAAAATTGAAAACACGTTCTTTTTTTTTTTTTCATTCATTTTCTCTTCCCCAGCTAAGGCGATTTTCGCCGTCTCCAACCGTCATCTTCTACCTCACAAACCGACCACCTAGACCACCAGATCCCAGCATCACTCGTACCCCCTCGCCTCCCCATTGGGCAAAATTTTGACCCATGGCTGGACAAGGTTCTGGACGAAATTGGCCAAAACAATTGACCCATGATTGGCAAAATTCGTCACGTTTTGGGTGAAATTGGGGTTGACCCATGGCTAGACAAGGTGCGCAAGGTGAAGAGGAGTTCAATCCATGTGGTCCGCGACCATGGATCGACCGGACGGCTCCGAAATCTGCAACATTCGAATTCTGTTGAACGGGCTTCGCGAGGGGTTTGTTTTTGGGTTTAATTCAAATTGTTAAATTGTTGTTTGTGGTAAATTGGGGCCATGGTTGGGGCCGATTTGAGTTGAGCAATCGACCGATGGTGGTGCGCGATCTTGGTTGTTGTCGAAGGTGGAGATCCGACAGAAAAGAGGTGTACGACATTTGTTTTTTGGACTGGATTTTCTGCTGCTTCTTGTTGACTTGTGGCTGGTGGTTGGTTGGAGATTTTAGAGGGGAATGAGGCGAGGCTGATGGTGGTTTTGGCAGTCGGAAGGTGGTGATTTGTGACAATAACACCAACGGTTGAGGAGAGGTCGAGGAGAGGGCCGTTTCCCGTGTTTTTGAGTTTTGCTATGTTTTGTGAAGAAAACACCCAAAACGACATTTTTGTCATTTTGAGTTTTCTTCACAATTTTTATTTTTTTTCAAAAATTCATTTCGAAAAGGGAAAGAGAACACATTTCTATCATTTTGAAAAATCGAAAACAGAAAACGACTCGAAAACAGCAAAGAGAACATACCCTAACTTTCTAGTACTGATGACTTAGTTTATATCTATTCATTGACTATTAGTTTAATAATTAATTCCATATCTGATTATTTCACCTAACTCTGATCCATGTTGGTAGAAAACATAAAAGCAGAAAGTTCAAAATTCAAACTGTGGCCTGCTGGTAATTGGATTCATTAAACTCCCATGTTCTTAAACGAGTACATATGGAGAATACAAAATTACAAAACAGAAGCCAAGGATAGTTTAATTGAGGGGTCATAAACTCAGGTGTCTAGAATATCTCTGCATATCATCAGTGTTCACATTTTTCATGGATTTACAATGACATGCATTCCCATTTTGAAACCCTAAATTGTAACAGAAACACCCAGACCGTGTAACAGTTGGAGACATTAATTTTCCAAAGGGCTGGTCCTCAAATTGTTGTTTTTCTTGCTTCTGATCATTCAGTTTAATAGCAGATTTTTCATATGATTTGTGTAGACTAATAGAGAGTTCCAAGTTTATTTGTGGCTGCAATTCATTAGACAATACACTTCTGCTATATGACTCTTCAGCTGAATCACTTCTAACCTTAGAATTGATAGTGTTTTTCATCAAATAATCTTCTGATACATTGATTGAGTGCAGGGAAAATGTTTGAGCTATTTCTGAGAATTGGCTAAGATTGTTTTCTTGGTTGCTTATTGAAATTTTCTTGTTCAGGTTTGGAGTTTTTATTGTTGAGCTGAGTGGTCTGTGAGTTTGGGGATCAATTCCACGGTTGAGGAGCTTTCTTTTTATGTGGGTGTTCCAGAAATTCTTGATTTCATTATCTGTTCTTCCTGGCAAGCGTGCAGCAATAAGAGACCATCTGTATGGCATCAACAGAAGATAAAAAAAATTAGGAAAAAAAATTCAACAATTAGGGAACAAGAAGAATCCAGGTAGTGATAGAATGCAAAAGATTCTTTTTGGTAGATAAAAAGTGGGATTCATCAATTATGATAAAGGATGAAGAATAAAGGGCATGGAAGCCCGTGAGAAAGAGAGTACTTGTTTCCAAGTAAGCCATGGAAGTTGATGATGAATTCTTCTTCTTCTTCAGTGAAATTTCCTCGCTTAAGATCTGGCCGGAGATAGTTTATCCATCGAAGTCTGCAGCTTTTTCCACACCTAAGTAAACCTGCCCAAAATAAACAAGAAAATCAAGAACTTGTAAAATTCATGCATACACATTAATACAGAATCCCAAATCTCTCTCTCTCACTCACAAAGAGACTAACTGACATATTTATTGGCAAAAAGGGATTTAGAGATTCAAACCTGCAGCTTTAGGAAGGGACCTCCAACAGCCTTCACCATGTTGTTTGATGTAATTGATAAGGCGTTCATCTTCTTCCTTTGTCCATGCCCCTTTGTTCGTGTGCTCTTTCTCACAACAAGGAGATCGACCCATTAATGCGTATTTTCTCAGCTGGTTCACTCCCGTGGTCAATAAAGGGATATGATCTTGCTAACCCCAAAAACTCTTTAACTCACGCGCATACTCACAAAGATATATAGAGAGAGAGGATGAGAGCTTGGGGCTTGTGGGATCTCCAAAGGAAACTTATGAGGGCAGGCAAATTTAAATAGGCAAGTTAGGATCAGCAAAATGAAATGGACTCATACCCTCACCTTAAAGTTGAAGGGACTCCCTCTTTGACAATCATTTAAAAACAAAGTTTTGAATAGTGAATTTGAGGAGAATGTGTAGTTACTAAATAGGAAAAAGTTTTGGGTTCACATACAGAATATTTTATTATGTGAATATGTCGTTAAAAGTGAGTATAGTAAAAAAAGAGTTTGAAAATAATGATTGCCAAACTCGAAAAGTTGAAGAAAAATGCGAGTGGTTGGAAATGCAAATTAAGTTAGTGCTGGATTTGGTAGGTAACACTGTTTTTTCTATGTAGTTGGACTTATTCACTCTTTTCGAATCCCACATAATTATACCATGTTTCATTGTTTTAATTATTTCCTATCAGCATCTGATGCTGATGTGCTTATTTTCTTGTTCTCTTTTCCTCCACCCCATTCGTTTTTCCACGTTTGATCCCTCGAACTTTATTTCATATCGCACCATCAACTCGCATATAATTAATTATTTTTACCTTTCGATCTACTTTTTACCTAGAAAATCTTGTCTTGATTAGGTATAATTATTGTTGCATACAGGATGCATTATGGTACAAAATTTCCGTTTATTTATCAGTCAATTCAAATACTTTTTTACTGTGTATGAAATTAAATTATATCTGGATGATTATATTTTTCGACTATGTCACATTCTCATTCTCTTATTCACGAGAACAAAATACTACCAGTGACGCTTTTAAAAATTCTTGAATTACAAATATTTACTGAAATTGTGACATTGGTCCAGATTTGGTTTGATCCACTGGGAGCCAAATTACGTGGCATGGTGGCCGAGGCCCTAAGGCCAATGAAAAAGCATACAACATCAAAGTGCTTGAAGACTGAAGTACATTTGTCGAGGTGGTCTCAACCGAGGCACTCCATGCCGAGGTCCCTACGCCAAAGACAAAGCACCTTTGCCATCACATCTTCCAAGAGATCCGGTCTTACACAAGAATCCTTTTTTGAGTGATTGATGGGACATCCATCATAGAGTTCAAGTGTTTTGTCTTTTCTAACATAGCGATTACTTTGATAATCAATAAATGTATAGTAGGCTAAGTAGTCAAAAATTGATACCTAGGATTAGATATGTAAACTAATAGGATGAGACCACGTGTACTCCCAACCGAAGTCCAAGATTTGGCTTGAATTACTATAAATACTCCCTCATGCACCCATTGTAAAGGCAATGCAAGATTCAATACAAGAGCAACTACTACACATTTTATTCTCTTGAAATACAACCGTGTTTACATACAAGATTAACAAACCGCGATTGATAATTATTGTATAATCGTTCTACAAATGTATCGCTGGATTCCAAATGTTGCCGTCCCACGCCTTTGACCTACTCCCTTGCCCCCTTACTAGACCTTTCGTATGTTTTAGCGTGTTGGACTTTCAACTACGTGTGGGCAGATGGATTTGACTTTCCCATACAATTTTCCTTTCTATTCCCTAAAATGCTAATGCTCGAGTTGGCACTTTGTATCAAGTTTACATATTCTGTTCTTTGTTGGAATTAGAATTCTAAACACCTATGACCCGGTTCCCTTGGCCTTGCCTCCTACTCATTCTACTTTCTACTTTTCATTATTATTATTATTATTATTATTATTTTTTAATATTCCAGCCGCCACCGCAAGAAATTTCATTTTTACCCATCAAGAAATTTTTTTACTTCAACAGTCAATTCCTCCAAGGAATATTTTTGTTTATTATAAAGGACATTTAACGACTGTATTTTGCCATTAAAAATCTCATCATTAGGTATAATTTTTCTCCTGTGATTTTTTTTTTTTTTTTTGGGTCATATTAATTTTATCATTGTTACAGTTAAAATAAAAAGTAAATTGTGCTGACATCAAAAAGTCACTGAAAGGAAAATTGTTACTCAACTTATAGGCGTATTCATGTTGATCACTTAGCTTCAATTTGTTTCAAGACAATTCCCCAGCTTACATTTTTGTTTTAGTTCGACCCTTTCACCTGTAATTGTCACAAAAACTAACAGCTAATCGCACATAGATATCTAAATCTGTGTCCTAACACGTGTGTGATGTCAAAAATGGAGTTTTTTGCTAACAAGAAAACCTCAAATGATTGACCCAAAATCTTTTTTATTTTTTTTTTCTTTGAACGATCCATTTTAACAACTATCTCATCTTAAAATTTATCAGTCACATGGATTTGATCCATAGTATTAAGCATGATTATAGACGGAATTGTCAAACTAAAATGAAAGTGTAAGTATGAAATACTTATATACCAAATGATGTTGAGAAACAATTGTGCGATATGTACATAATAATTTATATGATGGTTTACATACATATCATGTGGTGGGATATGTGATAACAAATCTTGTTGACCCCCTTTTCAGTAATGGCCATGTGGACAATAGATGTCGGGCCCACTCGCATCCATGCGGACAAATTTCGACATGTTTGGATTGGAGATTCGATCGGAAGGTTGTGACACCAATGGACGTCGGAGATGCTCAATAACACGAGACAAAAACATTTGGGCATCGTCAGTGTGATCAATGACAATTGTTAAACAAAGATCGAGCATAGATAACACCAAAGTAGGATGAATCTAAAACTTGAGCTAACTAATATCAAATGAGCAAGAAGGGAAGTTAAGTGTGATATTAAGGATATAAAGTTTGAATAGATGTTTGCCAATCATTTACGAAAGTTGCAATTTATAGAGTTCGGCCCGATGCGGTCACCATTGGATCAGATCCATGTGCTCCATCTGATTAACTCAAGTCTCACATCACTCTATCATACATTAATTACATTAACAGGAGGTCAGTCATCCTGCACTCCTAGACTGACATGTCTGACACTCATTAACACAAACGTTACCTCAATCATTGATCGCATTAATTGGAAAATGTATCTCTTAAATACTAGTTCATGAATTTTACTTTGTTGTCTAAACCTAAAACCACCTCTCGGCTCATAATAGATTTACAAAATCAATGAATTATTAGTCAAGTAATTCAAAGAATTAAAATTCATAAACAAAATCAACATATGAATTTAAAGAATTAGAATATTGAAAATTAAATTAAAAGGTCACACATAGGTTTCCTTTTTTCCTAACAAATGATCTAGCTACTCAGATTAACAAAGGAAAAATAATACAAAATTATATAGTTTATAATCAGGTTTTGAAATCTTGATTATCAAAAGAATTTGATTTTGAACTAAGAATCTTCTTCAATCTCAAAAGTTTTCAAACCCTTGCTTTTTGTTCCAGGATTTTGATGATTTTTTTATTTTTCTGACTTTAAAATTGTATGTCCCATAAAAAGGAATAATGAAAACTATTTATAGAAATCTAGAATAACTCTCAAAATGAATCCTAAAGCATATTCATTGTTGAGTTGAAATAGAAATCCAACAAAAGCTGAAATTTTTGATAATTGAGTGCACTTTGGTCCTCTGCATTAAGTTATTGTACGCCCAGGTCCTCTTTATTCACACGATAGGTCCTTATCTTCAAAACTTGATTATTCTGATCCACAATTCCTCAATTTTGTACCGCTTCAATCCTATTTCGTCCAAACTTGTCCAAATCGGGTTTTACCTACAATTAACCAAATTTAACCTAAATTAAGTATATATCTGCTCAAAATAATAATAAATGAATAAGACCTGTTACTCTTAATATATAAAGCTCCCAATGAAAAGCCACATGGAAGCACTACATACAGAAACCGGGGAAAAAAAAAAAAAAAAAAAAAAAAAAAAAAAAAGGGGAAGAGTTGCTCTATAGCTGAAGCACTTTTTCCACCCAGAGTTCTTTTGTCGAGGTGATTTTTCCTAAAGCCGAACCTCTTTACATCCGAAGCTCTCCATCTTAAATTTGAAGTCCTCACTGCCTTTGAAGCAGGTTTGATGAGTATTTTTAGGAATGATTAATGTAACATTTGTACTAATGAGTGTCAAATATGTTAGCCTAGGAGTGTAGGACTGCTGACCTCTTATCAATGTAATTAATATATGATAGAGTGATGTGAGACTTCGGTTAATTAGATGGAGCCACGTGGATCTAATCCAATGGTGACCACGTAGGCTTGAACTCTATAAATAGCAACTTTTGTAACATTGTAAAGGATTGGCAAACATATATACAAACTTTATATTCTTAATATTACACTTAACATTCCTTTTTTGCTCATTTGATATTAGCTAGCTCAAGTTTGGATTCATCGTACTTTGGTGTTATCTATACTCGATCTTTGTTTAACTATCGTCATTGATCGTGTGGTCTGTGCCCGAATGTTTTGGTCTCCTGTCGTAGAGTATCTCCCACGTCTATCGCCGCTAGCTCTCCGACCGAATATCCTATCCAAACATGCTGAAATTTGCTCACATGGACGCAAATGAGCTCAACATCTGTTGTCCACGTGGCCATTATAGAAAATAGAGTCAACAGATTGGCGTCGTCTATGGAAGCTTACAGTTAACCACGAATGTACTCTAGAGAAAAGTCAGCAATTTTTGTGCGAGGAGATTTCTTGCCTCTGAAGAAAATGAGGCATTCTTAGAGAAATAATCACCAAGAAGAACTCTCACTTAACATTTACATCCCTTGAAAAATTGGTTAGCTTTGAAACAACGGGAAACACTATCATGAGTATTACCAATGAGGAATCAGCACCTCGGAGAGCCAGGAAATATCCTGAAGAAAAGAAACCTCTTACACTGCCCCAGTATCTCGCCAAAGATTTCACCAATAACATAGGCGAGATGAACCAATGGAATTGTCTAGGATAGCTGCTAAACTCACCCAGAAAGTGGTCGTCATGATCGGAAATATGAGAAACATTACTCAATAGAGCCTCGCTACGCAGGAGCTGTTGAGTAACGTACAAACCCAAGAATGGTATCCAATTCCTCCATACGTAGCTCAGGGAAATGCGTCTTTCCAAAGAAATCACTATAGTGACGAGAACGAGGTCAAAACCCAAATGGTAGGGTAT